AAAATAAATCTAAAAATGAAATGAAATTAAAATCTAAGGAATATCGTTCTACCGAATGAAAATTTTCCACAGATACATTTAAGGTCTGCGCAAAGTCTACACGAGACATGATTTTTTCGTACACGAGTGGAAAAGAATATTTCAGCATGTTCGATGGATCTCTACCAAAAAACTTCGTGTACAACGATTTTCTCGTTGACGATTATACTTTTTAGGTAATAAAGCTATATATTTTTAAGTAATAAGACTTAATTTTTTTAAGGCTTTAGAAGTGCAAGCAATTTCACAGCATGTTTACGAAAATATTATGACAAAAATGGTTAGTTATTGCGAAAATTTCGGTGTAAGAACGAAATGGCATTATCTCTACATATGTATGTCTACTTAAAGTTTTTTTTTCTCTTCTTACCATCAGCAATCAGAATTAATGATTCTATATGCTGATTTGACAGCCTAAGGTCCTAGGTCCTTTATATGACATGATGAGGACCTCTCCATCGAGGAGTCCTCCTGTACCTCATTCAAGGTCAGCTGGCCATATTCCTCTCAATCTTCTAGATTTTTGCTCCTTCAAGAGTGGCTGTACGAGAGAGTTAGTGTGAAGATCTAATTTGTTACAATGTCTGTTGTTTCTTCCTTGCATTACGTCTGTGACGAAGGGAATGCCAAGGCCGACGTGAAGCCCTTTGTTGGATACATACCATGGTGCATCTGCTATTGAGCGGAATACTTTGGATTGCGATCTTTGTATGATGGCGATTTTGGATTTGTAGGAACACCCCCAACATTGACCTTTCCTTAAGGAGAAGCTTATACGATGTATGCTAAATAACATGTAATTTAATACTCACAGCTTTAGAGGCTCTCGTTTGTTTTTACGGGAGTCCAACATATGGCGAGTATGCGTGTCTGCCTGTTAGCAAATTATATAATAAAATTGTATACAAACGTGTAAAAGCAATTTTTTCACTTTTCTTTTTGTACACTACTTTTTACAAATTTACGTACAAGGTTTTGCAATTAATATGTTATTAATGTATCATCTCACAAGGAAAATGAGAAATCTTGGTTTGTCGCGTTACTTTCATTCTATATTAAGAAGTGACTAACGCATGCAGACATTTACTTACTTAATTTCTTCTTTTTCTGTATATGTTTACGATTTTCTATGCATTTAATTAATACATACACCAAATTAGTTTCAAATATGTTGTATATTTTGAATAATGTTATTTTCAAATAAGTTCACACGTAGTCGCCACTAGGTTATTAGAAATATCAATGAAGATTTTAATGATCTAACGATAGTCTAATTTGTTTATTATAGAGTGATCACTTTTGCAGTCAGTTATACTAATTACTGCTATATCGTTATTTTATAAGAGGCATTATTTCGGAATCAGAATGCTTTGCCATAGTTTAATAGGTGAATGTTAAATTGAATTTCCTTATGAGTAATTTTCGCGGAGAAGGTAAGATAATGCACTTCAGACACAACAGAAAAACTTTCTCGAAAGTTTTTGTAATTTGTTGGAGTCTCGCTCTCGCAGTCGTGATAGACGGACGTGTTTATGAAGTGTCTCGCTATTATGTATAATTGTGAGAGTAATTCAAACATACCAGGTGAACAACGCGTAACTGTTGTGGTATAGAGCTAATGGCTTAATAGCTAATTTATATATCAAACATTAAAAATGAATGATAATCCAGGAAAAACAGATACAACTTGAAAAACCTCAATAGAATAAGATCTTACCACCGATTACATGCAAACGGATTGTGAAACAGACAAAGAAATCGATCCAAAGTTCCCAAATTTTCAATAGAGAGTCTATAGCAAAACTAAAAAACGAAAAGCAGGAAGAGATAACTCAGACTCAGGATCAGAAACAAAAATTAAATTAACCAAAGTCACTAAGCAGAAACTGAAATCAAGTCTAAAATGGTTAGAATAAAATCCACAAATAGGAAACAGATATAAAATACTCAGACGCATAAATAAAGAACAAACAGAAGAATCTGTAATTTCAACATCGAAGCCACCATATAACGCCACCATACCATTGTATCAGAACTATTAGGCACCAACGAATTTTATAAAATACTCAGACGCATAAATAAAGAACAAACAGAAGAATCTGTAATTTCAACATCGAAGCTACCATATAACGCCACCATACCATTGTATCAGAACTATTAGGCACCAACGAATTCGTTATTAAACAAATGAAAAACAATGAAGTAAAACTGCAAACATCCAATCCAGATAGATACAGAGAAACTATCAAGGTACTCAAATCAATAAATGCGAAGTACCATACCTATCAACCCAAACAAGAAAAGAATTACAAAGTAGTAACTAAGGGATTTCACCCCCAAATAAATCACAAAAACATAGAACAGAAATTAACAAAACTTGGACATACTACAAAAAACATTATAAATCTCATGAGAGAAAGTAGCCAAAACCTTTACCGATGTTTCTCATTGAACTCGCACCAGCGGAAAATAATAAAGACATATACGAACTAAAAGTTATGTGCAATAAGCTTGTCACAGTTGAAATACCCAGAGTAAAAAGAAATAACCCACAATGTGTAAGGTGTCGAATGCATGGACATACTAAAAATTTTTGTAATAGAAGACCTGCATGTGTGAAATGTGCACAACAACGCCTGACAAGGAAATTATACAACCAACTATAAAGACTGTGTATGGTGAGAAAGATGTTACAAGAAATATTACACCGGCAACTAAGAAATAGCAGTGAGAACGTAAATAACATGTTACATGTAAATCGTCGAAGTGTTCGAGGAGTGCTTTGAGATAATCTTTCTTCTCTTGCAGTTGACCTGGAGTGACTTTGAATGACCTTCATAATAGGTCATTATATTGGTCTTGAAATACTCTATCAGAATGTAGTTGTGGGTATTAGTTAAATTTATAATATTTAATTTTTATATTATATTAAATATACA